CAAAAAAATATATAGAGAGAGAAGGTAAATTTCAAATTGGGCCTGCCATTCAAAAGAAAATTGAAATTGGTCCAAGGTCCTAATAGCAGGCCGGTCTTCATTCTTCAGAGCTCGACTTGTTCCTCAGGTCATAAGAACAGGCCCGTCTTGTCAAAAAATCGTGGTTTACATTGACCCCAGTCTAAGTCAGCCCTGCTCTTTCTGCCTCTCATCTTTCTGTTTGATCACACAAGTCCCTATCTACTGGACTTTAACCCGACTCCAAGTCCAGTCTAATTTTTGTTTTTATGGCTACTTGGTTTTGTTCGCTGAGGAAAAATAATTCAATAATATTATATTTATAATAGTACGTAAATTATAATTTTATTATCATAACATAATATTAAACAAATATAACTATATATAACATTCAAACAATTAATGATGTAACACCTATTAATGTTAAAGTGAAATATGAACATCATACATGCACCACGTGCTGCAGGTTCCAAACTAAACTATGATCATATAATTTGGTTGAGATTGAGACTGTGGCATTGGATATTTCTATTTCCTTAAAGAAGAAGAAAATCAACTTTACATCATACTCTTACCACTTGTTATTTCATCTGATAACCTGTTAGAGAATGTGACATTGGGTATTTCAATTTCCACGCAAGAAGAAGAGCCAGCGCCTTGGTGAGTTAATCGATTATCTTCTTCAAGAATCTCATGTTTTGCAGGAAAGGTAGATGTTTCCGCAACAGTTGGCATACGATGTAGATGAGAAGGAAAATCAGAGTAACCTGCAGTTCTGTTGCTGCTGCTACTACCTCTCGATGAAGAGTCATGACCGTTGGATGATTCTTGTTTTTTCCTCTTCTGCCTCACAACGGCATGCCATTGTTTTATGGTATTTGCTGTTTCTTTCTCCAACACTGTACTCTTGAAATTTGATCCCATCTGTGAAAAATCACAAAATCCAATTAACTTAGATTTTAAGCTGCAGTGCTACAGATGCTGATTGATTATTTGCATGGCATGGGATGGCATGTACATATACCTGAGTCACAAGAGCATATAAGGGAAGAGTAATGTAACTAGACATGACTTGAACTGTCACCCTATAAACAAAATGCACACTTAACATTTCAGAATTCATATCAATTTGTTTTGAATGTTATAGGAAGTGGTGAAAGCAAAGAGAAGAAATGGCTCCTTACGCTAATACAACCCTTGTAACAATGATTTCTGTGTGCTCGTGGTAGCAAGAATTTATCCCAAATTGCCACTGAAGATCAAAGCAGAGCGACATGAGAGATCAATCATTGTATTTGTATATATCTGAAACTTGAGCCAAGAAAAGAAAGATGCCATACCGTGACCCAGATAAAGAATGAGAACTCAAATGCATTCTGGAAATGATGAAATTAATTAGTCAGATTAGTTGAGCAAGAATATAATAGTTTTTTGGGGAATAATTAGGAGGAATTACCATAAACAAAGTGTAATGCATAAGAGTGAGGACAAATTTTGGGTGACTGAACCAGAAGAGATCATCATTGGGTTGTACCAAAGGGGCTCCTTTGATTACACTACTCTCTTCTTGGATTTTAAGTGCCATTCTTGCAACAATTACTTGGAGCTTGGTTCCAAGAACCAGCACTATCTGGAAGCAATTAATTCATATATGAATATGTGATGCTGTTAGCGTTTAAACAAAAGGTTGTT